CGTGTGGAAATTTCCAAAGGTTCAACGCTATATGAGTATTGAAGACGAAATCTTGACGATTTTGCAGTTTATATTCAAACTCAAATGGTAGAAAAATCATGTTATGCTCATTAGGTAATGTTCGTAATTGTGTGAAGACCTGTACTGATAGATAAATTTGGTGACACCTATTTGGAGGAAATGAAGACGAAATCTTGACGATTTTGCAACTTATATTCAAACTGAAATGGTAGAAAATTCACGTTATGTTCAATAATTAGGTGATGTTCCGTATTTGTGTGAAGACCTGTACTGATAGATAAATTTGGTGGTACCTATTTTTAAAATGTCGCCACTGATTGTTGGCCATACTGAATCATTGAACCTTTAAACAGTCTTTTTTAACTTGATATCCAAGCATCGAATATGAAAAAAGGATTAGGAAAAATTAGTATAACTCAATTGCAAGATTTTTTCAACTCTTAGGATTTTTTGAAGCAGAGAACTACCTCAGGTCACAATTAGGGAAGACTCACCATTGTTCCAGAGTTGTCAATAGGACGATCGCGCCAGCCTGCACGACGTCATGAGAAACAGAAATTTTTCATATTTCCTAAAATTAAAAACGACCATTGCATGGGTTAGGAAATGCTGATTCCAAATATCTAGTTCATTTTTTGAATGGTTTGTTTTGAACAAATTTATGAGGAAGCGGCGCTTTCGACGCGACTTCGCGTTTAATACGTCTTTTTTAACGGCGACAGCGACGGTACTGTACTTAAACGCTAGTTCATCAAATTTGGTTTTGTACGTCAAAACCTTTTTATCAGTATTGTTTGAGTATGGAGAATTGTTGGAGGTGGTTTAACGCAACTCAATTTCCTTGCTCCCAAGGATTATTCCTCTGGCCATTCCAACTACATGCAAGGTGCTATCCTCGAAAAAGAAGGGCTGTTCAAGAAATAGCCGAACGACTTCCTCTGAAGGGGTCATACTATTTCGGCTTCACGTTGTTCACATATTTGACAAAAGGAAACAGATCATAGAAAATAATAGACCTAGTACTTTCATTGACTCACCGTCTTTTCTAACTAAGCATATTCGATGGGTAGGAATAATTGTTTTATTGTTTTTTTTTGTTTTTTTTAGCTTAAGTTCAAAAACAACAAAAGTTGTTTTGTAGGGGAGAGGTTACAAATAAACGACGCTCTATCGAAAATTTGAATGAGCATAGAAAAAGAAGCGTCAGAAAGTTTCAAGGAAAAAAACTTGGTAGCTAATATCACCCCAAGTTTTGTATAAAGAATGCTAGAAGAAATTAGCAAAACCCAACCTTTGCTTCTTTCATGCTTCCCTCTATCTCAAATCTCATATTGTCGATATCACGAACGATCAGAACTACTCCTACAAGAGCGGCAAGTGTAGCAGCAGCAGCCGCCAATGATGCGACAGCGACAGGTGCTGAGCTCATTTCTTAGCAAAATATAAATGTATGTGCCAGGAAGTCAGCAGAACAGGAAGAAGAGGCACACTATAAACCCTGGTTACTCTCTTATATTCACTCCAAGGTCAATGCTAACTAGTGTAGGAAACCGCAAATAGAGTTGTATTTGGGCATTGACCTAAATCACATGTAGCTGTGTTAAACAAAGTATCTACGCTACAGTCAATAAGTGGGTGACACAGTTCTAGGGTAAACAACGCATGTATGGGCCTCGAGGACGACACGGTGTTGATCGCCCGAAACTGTTTTATTCCAAAAAAATCTCCAATTTCTTAAGTGGCTTAAATTGCTTGGAATAGAATTTTGGGTTGAGTCTGAACGATGTCACGAAATCTCTTCAATGTTTTCGTTGTAGTTTACGATAAAAAGTGGGCATTCTAAAGGATGTTGACTCATTGTAATAACAAAATTTCAAAGTTTTTTTATTCTTGAAATGATGCATTCGATACCATGATATATTGAGGGGGGTGCGTGGCGTTTGGAGCTTTCAGGAGATCATTAGGTACAGAGGCATAGAAAATTTGCGCTCACCGTACGTTACTTGTGAAAGCCTAACTTTACCATTTTTCCAAAAGTCGTTCCAAGTATATGTAGAATTTGTTGCACAGTATAAGTCACTGTAGATATCAATAAGAGGAAAAGATAGCACGATCTTTCGATTCTCCATCATCCACTGAAAATAAGTCTTCAAAGCATAATCAATATTATTTCTACATATAGATTATAAGTCGACTACATAAAAAGTGCTCTGATACAGTATTTGTTAATCTTTTTACGCTAGCTCTGCTGGTCCAGAACAGGTGCGCCCTCCCTACCCCGATCTTCACGGGTAAAAGCTCTTCAGGGATCTTGGAAGTTCACCAAGTCTTCTTCGCGCCGGCTCATTTACCTATAATTCGTAAGCCGTTGGGGTTTAAACCAATGAAAGTGCTGTTTGTTTCGTAAAAATAAGTTTTTCTTGGATTTCTTGCTTTTTTGTCACGAGCAGAAAAGTAAGGTGATACGAATTTATCCGTTACTCACTAACTCGATGGGTTTCCCCAAATCAGACAGCAACTTAAATTGATGAGAGGACTGGCACTCGAGCTGTCGTAAGATGCAATGATGTGAATTTTAGTTGCATGAACCTGAGAATCGTGAGCGCGTGCAAAAATTCGTACTTGAGCCAAACGTTGACTAATGAAACCTAAAACAGGGAGAAAAAATTAAATAGCATGTGAAAGTGATAAAATAAGATGTAAAAAGTAAATAGAACACTTCCATTCAGATTTAATTGAAAATTTGCTACAGTGTAATCTTAATGAATTTTATACCTTCATAAACTGATTGCTCATCTAGGAAAAAGCGCTTGAAATGGTTAAGGAATGATTAACCTTATGGCTTTCTATAATTTTCTATGCTTTTCCCGGCACCGAAAATGAAAAAGGAATTGGAAAACAACAGAGAATTCAACGAAAACTTGTTTTTACAGCAGAGACAATACACTCAGTTGGTTCAGGCCCAAGAGAGTTTAGGCTCATAGGCAGTTGACCAGTGCGCGCGGATGCAATAGCGTGGAGTCACATCCTTGGGGACCTTTATATGAGTGTCAGACCCACTCATGTAAACCAGCATTAAGATGTGAAGCTAGGAAGTTGGGGGTGATATCCGTATCAGCTTTTTGAAGAACTACAATAAATAAGCCTCGTAAATTTATTTTTACCACACTCATTTCGCGGAGGCGGTTAAAAATAGCACAAAAAACATTTAAAGCAATTAGTAATTTGAATTTACATGTAATTCTTTTACATCTTTATATTCTAAGCAACTCCTACTATGGAAGGGGCGTGGCGTTTTAAAACGCGCCCTCACACTTGCTCCCCCACGTTTCATTCGAGAAAATTCTCTGCGACCGCCACTCTCTCCTGGTAATTTGTCGT